AAAAAGGCGTTCATGTTGACTCAGAGTTATGTGCTGGATATAGCTCGAATGTTTTCCTGTTAGCCTGCATGTAAAATGCCTCCCGGGGTGATGCTTCTGATAGCTCATTTTGTACTGCATACCTGTAAGGTGCTTGGTTACACAGTGGTTCAGGAGAGAAGACAACGTTCTTCTCTTATATAAATTTTTGAAGAAGGTTTAAAAAAAAAAAACAACTGTATGAATGTGACCAACTTATCTATTTTATTGAAAGCTGTATGAAACAGAAGGAAAATTAATATTAGCTTTGGAACAGAACTGCGTGTTTTACATAACTCAGAAAGAAAACACAGGGAAATAAAATTGCTTTGCATTCCAATAAGAGCTGCATCTGGTCAGTCAACTAAATGTTATCCTTCTGTAGTGTAGACTGCCTGGGATCTCCTCTTGATTGCCAGCATTCAGCATCTAAGAAATAGACGTTGCTTTTCTCTAAAGAGTTTGCAGGTGAAGTAATTTAGAAACTAAGACAAGTTCATTAAAAGATAACTTAAACTGCTATTCATACTTGAAATTCAAGTACCTGTAGAGAAAAGCTGTTGAAAAATGGCGATTTGTCCTGTAAATTCTGTTATTACTGCCAGATGCTGTTAGCATTTATTGAATTACTTAAAGTAACAGTAATCAAATTCACCTATGGAACTAACAATATATGTTGTGTATGCTGTGGTAGGCCCGGTGCAGTGCCTCCTGGTCAGTGGCAGAGGAACATGTTGGTGGCAGTCACAGTGGTAGTAATAGCAGCAGTTCCACCCCTGCCACTGTGAATGGATTGACATGAACGTATCCAGTGCTTGAGCTGCTACTCTTGGAAAGCTGCAGTTGCTTTGTCTCTGTGTAGCTATAGGTGAAGGCAGTGGGGCTACAAGAGGTCAAATTTGATTGGAGTGTGCACACCTGGGTGGAGATAGGATGTTTACTTCTGGAAAAATGTTTATTTAGGGGAGGGCCATAGGGTAGATGACAGCTGTACAGTAGTTCAAGGTTCGTAGTAAAAGTATTTACCCTTTTAGTAAAAAAGTGAAGAAACTGGCTGCTGCAGAATGCGTTGGTAGCCTGCTGGAGCTGGGATGTTATGTTGCTGCTTGCAGTGTCTCCTAACAGACGAAGTCTGAGATGCTTTCCTTAGAGCTGAGGAGTCTTAAGTACGTAAAGGTAGTAGAACAAGAAATAATCAGGAGTAAATGGGGCAAGGAATATAGGTAGTGTGTTGTACTTGAAAACATATTGCTTTTTGTTCAAACAAAGAAATAGTCTGTGTAAAACGTAATGAGGGAATTAGCAATAAGTCTAGTCTTTCAAATGAAGAGTAAATTTTAGTTGCAGTAGGAAAGTAGGACATGCCAGTTTGAGCTACCCCTATAACAAGGAAAGAGGTTCTTATAAAAGAAATATTTACATTCTGCTCTTTGGGATGTTGTTTTAAGCAAGGTAAAGAGGAAAGCTTAAGATAACTTCAGTGGAAGAGAATTGTCATGAGCTGTCACCAATCTTAGTGGTTTGCTATACTCTTAAAAGTTTGAACTTAGCAAAAGATGGATAATAAATTGCCTGATATTTTTCCAAACACTTGTTTTTCCAAAGCATTTAATTTATAATTTAAACTTCTTTTACTAGATGTCGTCTGTTACTGAAAATGGAGATGTTACTGCTGGAAAGGCAAATGAAGAGAAAACATACAAAAAGGTAAATAAGCCTTATAACCTTTTCATTTCATGCCTTTCCTTTCATATTCATAATTTAAACCTGCTATAAGTGAACCATACTTCAGAACTAAATATAAGAACAAACAAAGCATGTTCTGTGGATTATTTGAAAGTATTTTATTCCTTCTGTGAAATGATAAGCTAATTCAATATGGTTTTAAAATATACATTCTTGATAGATTGGTGGAAGTTCTTTGCTCTTAGCAACAGAAATACCTCTGTACACAAACAGTTGTCAGAAATTTAGTACAGCGAGTTCCTGAATGCTTTGAATGTTTATGCCAGATGCCTGAGCTACAAACTCACTTTAACACCTCTTCAGTGTTTGCTGCAGAGTGCACTTCTTTTTTTGTAAGGAAATAGTGTTTAAGAGGTGGCGTATTTGGTATAATATCATGCGTCCATGGTGGCAGCATGAGGTTATGTAGAGATTGGTGGTAGGTAGTATTGTTTTTGGCTTTGGTTGTCTCTCAGTGGTTCTCTGGAAGCAGTGCTGTTTAGAACCATCAAAAACCATTGGTAACTAAGATGAGACATATACATGCATACATATGTACGTGCTTACACAAACCAGTTTTTAGTTACTGGATTTGATCTTCTTCCTTGACAGATATTCTCTAAGAAGTAGTGATATGTTTCCATATTGTAGTATTAAGGTCCATGTGCTCCTACAGTATATGTCATAAATTAGGAGGTATTATTTCTCTGTGTTTCCGACAGCATTGCTGGGAAAGTCAAGAAGAGTAAGCTGTTTCTTTTCCCTCTCCTCACTCCTTTTGATGGCAATGACATTTTAAGTGTTTGGGATGTCATTCTAGATTATTTTCTCAGAATTTTCTCAGGAGTGAAAGAAAAACAATGTTTGAGAAAATGTGTGGTTGTCTTTTTTAGTTAAAAATTGTCTTCAGTTTCTCTGCTTATGACTTCAAAACACTGAAGTCTAAATAATTTTCCACATCTAGTACTAAAAAAGGTAGAAAAGCTATATGCCCAAAGTGGACATTAATGCAGTCTTATAACTGCCTGAGTAGACTGCAGAACTTGGTAGTCCCTGCACAGGAGAATTTGTATTCCTTTCAGTCATCCTATGTGCCTTACTTTGTTCCCATTCAACTCTTAAGTTCAGAGTATTCCAGAGAAAGCCTTGTGAGGATTTATACCATGACACCAATTCTTCTGATGTTTTGTGAAAAGTGCATCCACCACATCATACTGGGGTCTCAGTGTCATCTCCAAATTCTGCTCTTTCCTCTGAGCTTCCAATTGTTTGTTTGTACATGGATCTTACAGCAGTTTCTTTTCTGGTATTCATACTCCCAGTTGTTCTCAGTTCAAGATCCTGTGTTATGGGTACCCCATAGTGCAGTGTTATTGCATATTGTCATTTATGCTCCAGCTTCTGAATACTAATAAAAGATAATAAAGTTTAACCCTAAAACTGATGCATGAAGAATTTAATGATAGTGTGTTTTGCTTTTAATTATGTGGTTCTTCTCATAAGGCAAATCCTTTATAAGTCTTGCACTTTATTTTGTTTCTCACCTTTGCAAGATATTCCATATAACACCATTGAAGGGTTTTTTGTTTCTTTGTTTCTTAATAGAAGGCAACTACATTTGTGTAGAAAGATGTTTATGAGGTGAGGCTGGCAGGACCTGTGTTTGACAGCAACATTTCATGTCATCTTCCATTTAATTCCAGATTTTTATGAAACCTTCACAATGGCACCACTTTCTGGTCAAGTCTTATTGGCAGTTAAAACCCACCTATCTTTAACTGCTCACATCAATTTTATTTCCTTTTTTTTAAAAAATTATTATTATTCAGGTTCTTCAATTGTGCTTTACTGTACTGGCAAAAATTGCTGACAGTTTTTGTCCTTTGACTTTCTGTGATACATTCTCCAGAAAATCTGGTTTGGGAAGAGCTTAGTTTCTTAGCTAATTCTTTTTCTACTGCTTGGGCAGTTCCTGCTCCCATCTGCCACATCCCCTGATGGAAGTGGGACTGCTTAGGCAAGATGCTCCCGTAGTTTTCAGATCAGGCCAGGCTTGCTAACTCATTCTTATTGCTCGGAGGCCTCCTTTCCATCTTTTTGTTCTTCTTGTTTAAACGTAATTGAAGTGGAGAAACATGATGTTTGTCTGTTCATTTCAGAACAGGCAAGTGGCACATCTTGGCTTGAATTTTGCCTGTTTGGGCTTTGTCTCTGCTTTGCTTTGACCTTTGGTATACAGCTCCAGGGCAACTGTGTAGCTGTTTCTTAAAATGGAACTGATATATAACTTTGATCTGGAATATTTGTAGCAGTGATGTGCTCTTTTAAGGAGGTGCATTGGTTGGTCTGGTAGCCAAACAAGTTGCATCATGAGGTGCCTGTCTGGAGCAGTTCAACAAAGCAATAAAGGGTATAACAAGAGATAAATGGGTAACCAAAATGTAGTTCAGAAACACTGACATTATAAAAAATTTTGTAATGCCAAGATTTATTTGGTGATTCAGGGTATTTCTAGTGTCAATCCTAGGAGTTAATTGTCCTGAGATGTGCTGATAGTCTCAGCGTTAAGGTCATGCTTCCAATACAGAGGGCTTAGTGAAGGAAGAGTCAGTGTTATCCTCCCGCATCTCCTGCTGTGGGCTGCACTGGTTCCACATGAAGACTCAGCAGCAACTTTATTATAAGCCATGTGGTCTGGTCTTTTAAGTTTTCCTTGGACTTTTCAGCCTTTTCCCAGAGTGAAATGCTGTAGTGTGCCTCTTTAGCTTCTGTTTACCAGCTCTTACTGTAAAGCTAAAAACAAATGAAATCACAGAATCACAGAATTGTAGGGGTTGGAAGGGACCTCCAGAGATCATCGAGTCCAACCCCCCTGCCAAAGCAGGTTCCCTACAGCAGGTCGCACAGGTAGGCATCCAGGCAGGTCTTGAACATCTCCAGAGAAGGAGACTCCACCACCTCCCTGGGCAGCCTGTTCCAGTGCTCCGTCACCTCACTGTAAAGAAGTTGTTACACACACTTGTACAGAACTTCCTATGCTGCAGTTTCTGGATGTTTCCCCTTGTCCTGTCTCCACTCACCACTGAAAAGAGTCTGGCCTCACCATTCTGCCCCCCACACCTTAGATACTTATAGACCTGGATCAGGTCCCCTCTCAGTCTCCTTTTCAGAACAGACCCAGTTCACTCAGCCTTTCTTCATAGGAGAGATGCTCCAGGCCCTTCACCATCTTTGTGGCCCTCCGCTGGACTCTCTCCAAGAGATCCCTGTCCTTTTTGTACTGGGGAGCCCAGAACTGGACGCAGTACTCCAGATGAGGTCTCACCAGGGCAGAGTAGAGGGGGAGGATCACCTCCCTCAACCTGCTGGCCACGCTCTTTTTAATGCACCCCAGGATGCCATTGGCCCTCTTGGCCACAAGGGCACACTGCTGGCTCATGGCCAACCTGTCGTCCACCAGGACACCCAGGTCCCTCTCTGCAGAGCTCCCCTCCAGCAGCTCATCCCCCAACCTGTACTGGTGCATGCAATTATTCCTCCCCAGATGCAAGACTCTACACTTGCTTTTGTTAAACCTCATCTGGTTGTTTTCTGCCCAGCTCTCCAGCCTGTCCAGGTCTCGCTGAATGGCAGCACGGCCTTCAGGCATGTCAGCCAATCCTCCCAACTTTGTATCATCAGCAAACTTGCTGAGGGTGGCCACTATCCCCTCATCAAGGTCATTGATGAAGATGTTGAACAAGACCGGACCCAGCACAGACCTCTGGGGGACACTGCTGGTTACAGGTCTCCTGCCAGACTCTGCACCGCCAACGATGACCCTCTGCGCTCTGCCAGTCAGCCAGTTCTCAACCCACCTCACTGTCCACTCATCTATCCCACACTTCCTCAGCTTTGTTATAAGGATGTCGTGGGGGACAGTATCAAATGCTTTGCTGAAATCAAGGTAGACTACATCGACTGCTCTCCCCCCATCCACCCAGCCAGAGACAACATCATAGAAGGCTACCAGGTTGGTCAAGCACGACCTCCCCCTTGTGAACCCATGCTGACTGCTCCTGATAACCTCCTCTTCTTCCAGTTGTCTGGAGATGACATCCAGTACAAGCTGTTCCATCACCTTTCCAGGGACAGAGGTGGGACTGACCGGCCTATAATTGCCTGGGTCTTCCTTCTTGCCCTTTTTGAAGACCGGAGTGACATTGGCTATCCTCCAGTCTTCAGGCACCTCCCCCGTCCTCCAAGACCTCTCAAAGATGACCAAAAGCGGTTCAGCATTCACTTCTGCCAGCTCCCTCAGCTCCCATGGATGCATCCCATCGGGTCCCATGGATTTGTGAACATTGGTGTTGCCTAGGCACTCTCGGACCACCTCTTCCCTGACTGAAGGGAGGTCTTCCATTCCCCAGATCCTCTCACTAACCTCCAGGGTCTCAGATTCCCGAGGGGGAGCTTTTTCACTGAAAACAGAAGCAAAGAAGGCATTCAATATCTCCGCCTTCTCAGTATCCCCCGTTACCAGAACACCTCCATGACTTAGCAGGGGAGCTACATTTTCCCCAGTCTTCCTTTTATTGTTAACATACTTAAAAAAGCCTTTTTCATTATCCTTTATCCCCTTCACCAGATTTAATTCCAGGCGGGCTTTAGCCTTCCTTGTCACTTCCCTGCAGGCCCTGACAACATTCCTGTATTCCTCCCAAGTGGTCAGACCCTTTTCCCGCATTTCATGGGCCTTCTTTCCTTTGAGTTTGTGCACGAGCTCCTTGCTCATCCACACAGATCTCCTGCCACCCTTTCCCAATTTCTTCCTCACAGGGATGCACCGATCCTGAGCTTGGAAGAAGAGCTGCTTAAATGCCGACCAGCTCTCACAGGTCCCATTCCCTTCTAACACCCAGCCCACAGGATTGCTCCATGTAGGTCCTGGAAGAGATCAAAGTTGGCTCTCCTAAAGTCCAGGGTAGCAATCCTACTTTTTGCTTTACTTCTTCCATTCAGGATCTTGAATTCCACCATCCCGTGGTCACTACAACCCAAGCTGCCCCTGACCTTTACTTCCCTGACAAGCCCTTCTCTATTAGTGAGAATAAGGTCCAGCAGTACTCCTCTCCTCGTCGATTCCTCAACCACCTGCATCAGGAAGTTGTCTTCAAATCCTTGTGGATAAGTAAAGTTCTGATACAACTTTGCTTGAAAGGTTATGATTTCCTTACATAATGATGGTGGAAAGGGGGAATGTCTCAGTGTCATATCACTTTGTCCTGAGTAATTTTTGCTTTTTGCCTAGTTGCAATGTCCACTCATTTTTCATAATAGTGTGCAAGGATTATGTCCATACAGCTTTCATCACATTAATGTGTCAAGTGCATACAAATAGGAAAAGAAATACATGGAAAATGTCTGATGTAAAATTTAGTGACTCATAGGGGAAAGTTAAATAAACGTTGGCTTTGGAGGCATTTTCCATTTGTCATATCCACTGAGAAAGAAGCCTAACAAATCAATACATATTAAACGATATTTTTGCTTGATCTGGAAATGTAAGGAAATGTAAATATCCCTTATTAAGAACTGTGATTAATTTCTTCATAAGGAAAACATGGAAGAAAATGAGAGAGAAAATAATTGCAAACTGTAGTTTTTATCTATTTTATATATGTTTAAAAACATTTTTGGTAGATTACATCTGGTGTAAATGAAACTACTTTCTTTAGCACTGTACTGTCAGACTCATTGACATGAATAATGGTTTACTGAAGTGTTTGTCCATCTGGGGACAAATTGTATCTTAACTGTTGTTTGAAAAGAAAAGATGTTCTGCAGTGGCAGAAATGTTCACCACCTTCTCCTTGTCTGTTACTCACCCTTCTGAAGACCCTGGAGCTGATGTAGATACTGCTTTGAGTGCACTGACTGAAGTAGAGATAGGCTATGCAGTTTTGTCTAGTGATTTTGGACAGCTGGAGAGTGAATTAGAGCTGAAGACTCTAATTTGCTCCCTTTTCTGCTGTTTCCTGTATAGCGTGGCTCATCATGCAAATGCTGTCATTCAGAACACCACCCCACACTTTTCCTTCTTTAACCCCAACTTCTATTGATGAACAGTGTCAAATAGTGCAGGGTATAGCTTAGGTGCAATGGGGTAGCTGCCCTGGCTGCGTCCCCTGCCTACTCCTTGTGCACTCCCATCTTCTCACTGGTAAGGCAGCATAAAAGTTGAAAAATCCTTGGCTTTGTGTAAACCCTCAGTGTGTTAACAAGACTGTTTTCATCACAAATTGAAAGCACAGTACTGTACCAGTTATTATGAAGAAAATTATCTCTGTCCCAGCTAAGGTCTGAAGGAATCTTATTCACAATTGAGAACTTTATTTCTGTGGTATTTTCACTGTGTATTACCAGTGTGTTCCAAACATGTCCTGAATTCATGTAGAATAGTCTTAAGAGCTATTATAAACATTTGTGATAATGACTGTTTTTAAGTTCATCCCTATCAGTTAAAAATAAACTTTCATTTTTATGAAGAAGTTCTTTCCTCAGAGGGCAGTGAGTCACTGGTACAGGATGCTCAGAGAAGCTGCGGATGCCCCATTCCTGGAGGTGTTCAAGGCTAGCTACGATGGGGCAGTTGAGCTGGTGGGTGACAGCCTTTGCCCATGGCAGGGGGTGGAACTAGGTGATGTTTAAAGTGCCTTCCAAGCCAAACCACTTTGTGTTTTCTCCAGGAGGAAATAAAGCTAGGAATAAGTTAGCATGTAGACCTGTCAGTTCTGTTTATGGAACTTCAGATACTTCCAGTAGTTTCTTTATAATTTTGTTTAGCTCAGCTAAAATAGTGATAGATATCTTACTTGTCTGAATTCTTGAGGCCTTCTTTTCTTCAGTGTCCTTCAGTAGTCATGTTTTGACCCAGATCTCAGATGGAAGAAAATGTGATTTGCTATACACATGAACACTTTAAAGATCCAAGATGATGTCTTGATTTGCTAAAACGTTGTTAAAAGCCTTGCTCAATCATTGCTAAGAGTCCTAACTATACAGATATTGGAATTCATAACTGTATCAAGACAGTGGCACAGTTATAAGTATGCAACAGTCTCTTATTTTTCTCTTGAGATTTTACTGATTCAGTTATTAGAATCTGCTGACAGTCGTGCAGCTTTTGCATTGCAGTGTAATCAGTCATATATAATAGTTCCTTAATCTGCTTCCTGACATTCCGTACAGTGATAGAAATAATGAGGCATGAACAGATCTGTTGAAGCACTGGAAATGTATAGAAGAAAATCAGACCAGAACACGTATTCTTCTTATTCTGGAAACCTTTTACCAGTTTTCTAAAGTCTCTGCTTGTGATCCAAAGTCTACCCCAGATGCATACTCGTTTGGCATGATTATTTCTTATGGTAACATATTTTACTGTTCTTCTTAGTGTATTACAATTAGCACCTTGCCTTGTTCAAAATTGGCTATCTGTGGCATCAGTCACTTTGCCCAGGAGCAAAGGGAATTTATCTGTAAAAAAGAAAATTGGCTACCTATTGTTGGAGCTTGCAAACATGTGCTAACAGCATTGCTGCATGACTGTTGGCATTGGTTTACATCCAAAAACCAATGTGTGTGGGTAGAATTGTTCTGCCAACATTGAAACTTTCCTACTGGAGCTGCACTGGAACATACATTTTCAGTAGCATACTACTGAATGTTTTGTACTTGGAAAGAAAGAAAATAATACAATAATAGCAGTTGTACTTGTTTAATGACCTAGCTTTATACTGGCATTCAGTGCAGTATGTCAGAAAAAATGTGTGTGTAAGCTTATATTGTGTAGCACAGTTATTGATGACTTTAATATGGAAAGTACAGTGAACACCATGTGCAACAGCATGTAACGCTTCATTGCTTTGTTCATAGGCATAGTTCTAGGATGCAAAGAAAAAGAATGGCCAAAGAATGTGGCATAGGCTGGTGTAATTGATAGCCTTCAGAAAGAGCAAATACACTCTGGATATTTCTACTTTCTGCTGCAGAACAGGGTGTTTTTCTAAATCTGTGACACCACTGCCATTTACATCTGGATTATACAAATAAATACCTGTCTTTTTGTTTTGTTTATTTCCTATTATGATAGATTGCCTTATCATAACAAAAACCCCTGGTAGAGCTGTCCTTTGGAGGTCACAGCTGCTTTTTGCAAAGAAAACTAGCAGGACTAAGGAAACTTTTTTTCTATAAGAGCGGCAGCTTAGTAGTAACTGTTAACTCCTGCCTTCCACAACAAAATCCAAAGATGGGGTGGATGGCAGAAGTCCAATTAAATGAAGTCTGACTTGCTGTGCAAGCAGCTGGCAGAGAAGCAGGCAATGTGAACTTAAGAAAGAGTGAAAGAACAGAGTGGAGTTGCAAGTTGTGGAGAAACACAGGAAAGAGTTTAATCACTGAAGTTTTCTAGTTGCTCTGTTTTTACATGCCCTTTTTGTAATTTAATATGAAAGGAAACTGGTAGTTCAAATGTGGCAGCTGCAGAGACATGCTGAGGTGGTCTGGCTGCCTCTGAACGCTTCAGCAGAAGCAGCTGCTGGAAGTGTTCTGTCAGTGGGACACTACAAGCGCCCAAAGACAGGAAAAACATAGTGCAAAAGGAATGGACTCCCAAATAACTGCACACACAGATTGAATCTAGTAGCAATTTCTTAATGTTAAAGAGTTTTTTTAACGTACTGCGTGGAGAAGGCTTTCTGTTTTCCAACAACACTGTCCTCAGGTGGTTTGACCTATGAATTTACACAATTTATGGAGACGTAGTTTCTTTTCATGGTTCTGGAAAAGATAAGCTATGTTTGCAGAGGAGAGGTGGTGTGTTTAGATTCCTGGTACTTGTGGTAACCAGTATAACTGAAGAACAGTTGTTTACTTGTAGGAAATTCGGATCTGTCCAAATCCATGCATCTAGAATAATTTTGACTAAGTGGAACCCTGGGGATTATTCATTTATTTATCTTCAGAGAGGCTGCGACTTTCAGGAGGGCTTCTGTATGCAAATCTATACCAATCCCTTTCTGAAATGCCATTGCTTAATGCCATTTTGATGGTATTAAGAAGTGTGTTTACAGTTTAGACAGTGTGCATTGTGTTTCAGTTAAAATAAGGAATCGAGGAAGTGGGGATTTCATTGGGAATTTTTGGTATATTGCCAGACTCAGGTTCTTTACACTTACTCTGATTTCAGGGTAATGTAATAGTTTTGTAAGACTTAATGTGAACATACATTATTGTAGTGTTATTAAAGCTTTGAAGAGCTTTTAAGGGCCTATAGTCTGTTCAGGCTCTAGGAACTGATGCATGGAGAGGAGTTTGACCTCCTTCGTGAAGCAGGCATTTTTTCAGCTGACTGGAGATGAGCACTATCTTGTGTTTTCACAAGGCAAAGAGCTGTGAAGTAGACAACCAATTCATTGATTCAGTTCTACCACCCAGTAGAACAGGCTGGTGAAA